CCCCCCCCCAGCCACGCGGGTCCTGCAGCTTCTCCTCATAGCTGCGCAGGATGGTCAGCCCCATGCTGATGCCCACAATGGCGCCTGCCAGGTGGGCCATGAAGCTGGGCTGGGGGCCAGAGGCCGCCAGGGGCGGAGAGAAACGGAGCCAGACGGCACGGCCCACCTCGGAGCTCACTGCGGGGGGAGGACGAGGAGTGAGAACGGTGGCCCCAACGCTGCTGAGGAGCCCTTGGCCGAGAGCCGCCCCCCGGGGAATCGCCCCTTCTCATGCTCTGGCCCCTCCCCACGGTTGCAGCAGCGCCCTGCTCTCCCTTCTCCCACAGGCAGGGCATCCCCGGGGCACTTGCAGATCGGAGGGGGAAGAAGCCCTGGTACCGTTGGGCTCTTCACTGCACTGAGCCCAGATGCTCTAACTCCTCCCACCCCTAGTGGGGAGCAAACGTGTCCAGGGGGTCCACAGCCAGCTGCCCCTGCTTTGGCACTCGGGGCGGGGGGTGCACGGGGTCACGGCCCGGATGAGGCTGGGATTAGTCCAGTCACAAGTCAGCGCACTGGGAATATTCACGGACACTCAGGACGCGTCATCCCCCCGAGCAGGAATCCCTGGGGAAGTTCGCTGGCTTGCAGGACACCCAGGGCCGCACTAGCAGATCAGCTCGGTCCCTTCTGCCTTTGACATCTCAATTCACCTCCGCGCCGCCGGCAGCCTCAGCCAGCGAGGCTCCCAGGGGCCCTGCCGCCCGCCTCCGACAGGTACTTACTGCACACCAGAGCCAGGACCATCCGCAGCAGCTTGTACGGGCAGCGCATCCCCGCCCAGTTCTGGGGACAGAGACACCACGTTGAGGCGGGGGGGCTGGGGTCCCGTTGGGAGCGCTGCCCCCCATTTCAAAGTGGGAGGGGCCTGCGGGCGGGCGGCCTGAGACTCCCCATTCAAAAGGGCAGCAGGAAGGAGCGACGCTGCGTGTGCGTGGGGAACCCGCCACCTGCCCCCAGCCGCGCCCCTGGACAAACACAGGGGCCTGAGCCGGGTTACAGGCCCAGAGCAGGGGGCTGCTAACATGCCTGGGTGCAGGCACAGAGACGGGCCAGCTTCAGGGAGGCAGATACCCATGCGGAGCCTACCCGAGCTGCCCAACGGTCACTGGCAAAGGCCTCTCCTTGTGCCAATCAGCGCTCTCCTGCTTGGCAGTGCCCACCATGCCAGGGCAGGGCCCCCCGGGGAACGGGCCACAGATCAGGATTGAATCGGCCCCTCCTGCGCTGCCGGCCATGGGCGAGTTATGGACCAACGCTGGTTGTTGGAACGTGAGCAGAGGGGCGACTGACGGAGACTGGGCAGGCCCAGCTACGCGCCCGGCTCGCCGTGATGCTCAGGGCCAGGCCACATCCCGCTTAGCCTGGCCTGGCCCACAGACGTCCTCCCTGCTGTCCTGCGACCCCGAGGGACGCCAGATTGGCCGAGCTGGGAGGAGAGGCAAATCAGCCCCTTTCCAGCGGGTCCTCCCCAGGCGCGGCCTGGCTGCAGGGCCAGGGTACCTACCATGACAACGTTGGCCAGGTGAGCAGAGCAGAGGGCATAGACGCCTCCCGAGCCCCCGACCAGAGGGGCCCTCATGTCTGTGATGGAGACGGTCAGGGAGCCTGCGGACAAGAGAGGAGAGGGGGTACGGGGCCGGGGAGAGAGGATCGTCCTGTGCAGACGGCACCCCTCTCCTGAGGAGGGGCAGGGCAACCAGGCACTCTGGGTGAGGGGCTCCCAGCCCTGGCTCTCACTCGCTCAGCAGCAGTCTGAATGAGGGTTCCATGCTCGGGCTAGTCCTCTGCATCTGACTGTGCAACAGTTACACTTGCCCCTCCTGTCGCCATGGTAACTTGGCACAGTGCGCATGCTGCTCCCCGCACCACCCCGAACACACAGCACCTCTCCAGAGCCCACACGCACTCACCCAACACACACACCATTGGCCTCAGCAGCTCACACCTCACTGCATCCACACCACATCTTACCCAGGCCATAGCTACACACCGCACCGGATAGCACAACACACCCACAGCGCCTACTACTGGCACACGCCACACCTTACCCAGGCCGTAGCTACACACCGCACCGGATAGCACAACACACCCACAGCGCCTACAATCAGCACACTCCATACTTTACCCAGGCCGTAGCTACACACTGCACTGGATAGCACAACACAGTGCCTACAATCAGCTCGTGCCACACCTTACCCAGGCCATGTATACACACTGGATACACACACACACACACAATCAGCTCATACCCCATCTTACCCAGGCTGTTAAGTACACACAAGATAGCTGCCTGGCCTGAGGATGGGTCACAGAGTACTGGAACTACTGAAACTGGAAGAAACCTGGACAGGACCAGTCCCTGTGCTCATGGCAGGGCTAACCACCATCTGGATCAACCCTGACAAATGTTCATCTAACCTGCTCTTAAGTATCTCCAGTGATGGAGATTCCACAACTTCCCTAGGCAATTTATCCCAGTGCTGAACCACCTTGACCATTAGGAAGTTTTTCCTAATGTCCAACCTAAACCTCCCTTGCTGCAGTTTAAGCCCATTGCTGCTTGTTCTATCCTCAGAGGCCAAGGAAAACAACCTTTCTTCCTCCTCCTTATGACACCCTTTTAGATACTTGAAAACCGCTGTCAAGTCTCCTCTGTTTTCTCTTTTCTAAACTAAACAAGCCCCGTTCTTCCAGCCTTCCCTCAGAGATCATGTTCTCTAGACATTTAATCATTTTTGTTGCTCTTCTCTGGACCTTCTCCAATTTCTCCACATCTTCCCTGAAATGTGGTGCCCAGAACTGGACACAATACTCCAACTGAGGCCTAACCAGCGCAGAGTAGAGCAGAAGAATGACTTCTCGTGTCTTGCTCACGACACTCCTGTGAATGCAGCCCAGAATCATGTTTGTTTTCTTTGCAACAGTGTCACACACTGTCAACTCATATTTAGCTTGTGATCCACTCTGACCCCTGGATCCCTTTCCGCAGTCCTTCCTAGACAGTCACTTCCCATTTTGCAGGCATGCAACTAATTGTTCTTCCTAAGTGGAGTATTTTACATTTGTCCTTGTTGTATCACGAGCAG